ATACTACAACTATATATAGCCCATATACATACATATATATATATATATATACATATTAAGTCAGCCAATAAGTCCATGATATATAATATATATACATAATATATAGTTATGTTACTTTATGACATGGTTCAAAGAATGAAGAACGTATAATCGTCTGATCTCAGATTCATTCTCAAACGTTTGACCAGTATACATCAGATCCTATGAATTGAATGATACCATTAATAATACAAAACATATCCTAACACACATCACATTGTCTACCTTATAAGCATTCATCACTTGAAACAAATTATCCTGCAGATCTGTGAACGGTCCTATTAATAAATAAGTATTATCTAAAATTTAAACTGTGTCTTTTTAAAATCACGTATAATAAAAAATCGAGAATAGCTTGGACATACTTTTGACACTTGTTTTATTAACAGTTGGCCATAATGTCACCAAAGGCTCCCTAACCTAACATAAATATTATCTTTAATAATAATGCATTGTAAAATAACAGACTAATAGCAATCAACATAATACTAACATGAAGACCCTTCAGTTGAACTTGACTGGAATCATCTCTCCATATAGTGTCCTTGTTATTAGAAGGTGTCCCCAACCATTGAATGAGACCAATGTCTTTGTACTGGAGTGCATATAACATGCCAATAATAAAAACTAATATTGCATAGTATACTCTATCTACATGTACCTCTTTATTCAATGTCAGTGCTTTTGAAAATAAATCTTTTAAGTTGTCTACATCAGATTCAGTTAATAGCCTCTCATAATGAATAGAGAAGAAGTGATCCTGATCATCCTTAAGATTAGAAGCAGATAAATCATCATCATCATCATGGTCGTCGTCACTTTTATAATTATTCTAATTATGCATGTATTGCATAGAAAATTTTATGAATTGGGCTAACTTCATCACAAGTGCTCAATTCTACACGAGTTTCGGTAGGAGGATTAGAATTCATGGGACTCTCAATGCCTTCTTCATCCTCCTAAGAGATCACATGCGACAACACGAGGTCTGGCAGCTAGACTTACCTCTAAATTGTGAGGGAAAGTTTCTTCTACTTTTTGGCGGCAGGAACGCT